ACTAGGCCACGCGGAGAAAAGTTGTTGGTACCGTAATATGCCACAATGCAATCATTGCAAGAAATTCGGGCACATAGAGAAACACTGTCGCAACAAAAATAAGCATCAAGCTAATATCGCAGAGGAGCATGATCAAGAACAATGTATGTTCTATGCCACTCAAGAATCAATCAAAGAAAAAGGAGGAAGTTGGTACTTGGATAGTGGATGTAGCAATCACATGGCCAAGGATGAGACTATTTTCAAAAGCATTGATGAGTCAGTCAAAGTCAAAGTTCGACTAGGAAATGGAAGTGTGGTTGAGTCAAAAGGAAAAGGCACCGTCGTGGTAGAGACAGATAAAGGTACGCGACTCATCCATGATGTCTTACTAGTTCCCAGCCTAAAAGAAAATCTTCTAAGCATTGGGCAAATGATGGAGAGAGGCTACACACTTCACTTTGAAGGAGGTGTATGCAAAATCTTAGACAACAAGAATAAAAGGGCCGAGATAGCCGAAGTGAAGATGAATAAGAGCAATAGAAGCTTCTCGCTAAATTTAAAATATACAACTAACATTGCCATGAAGGTACAAGTTGATGATTCATGGCTTTGGAATCGAAGATTTGGCCACTTCAACACACATGCCTTGAAGTTGTTACATGATAAGAACATGATGAGAGATCTTCCAAGCATAAAGGATAACAATGAAGTGTGTGAAGGATGTCTCCTTGGTAAGCAACACCGATTTCCATTCTCAACAAGCGGAGCATGGAGAGCAAAAGATCTGTTGGAGCTGATACATACTGACGTCTGTGGACCGATGAGGACGCCATCACACGAGAACAACAGGTACTTCATACTCTTCATTGATGACTTCTCTAGAATGACATGGGTCTATTTCTTGAAAGAAAAATCAGAAGTTTTTGGAGTATTCAAAAGGTTCAAGGCCCTTGTTGAAAATCAAAGTGGAAAGCGGATAAAAGTACTAAGAAGTGATCGCGGCAAAGAGTACACATCCCACGAGTTTGATAGATTTTGTGAGGATGAGGGCATAGAGCGACAACTTACAGTCGCATATTCTCCTCAGCAAAATGGTGTGTCTGAGAGAAAGAATCGCACAGTTATGGAGATGGCTAGATCGATGCTCAAAGAGAAGCGACTACCTAACACATTCTGGGCTGAAGCAGTCTACACTGCTGTTTACTTACTCAACAGATGTCCAACTAAATCTGTACAAGATAAGACTCCAATTGAGGCTTGGAACGGGAAGAAGCCATCAGCAAAGCACCTAAGGATCTTTGGATCTATATGCTACATTCATATTCCAGACGTGAAGAGGCATAAGCTTGAAGACAAGACTATACGAGGTATCTTCTTGGGGTATAGTACAATATCTAAAGGCTATCGTGTATATAACTTGCAAACAAAAAAACTCATCATCAGTCGAGATGTTGAAGTTGATGAGAATGCTTCTTGGAATTGGGATGAAGAAAAAGTGGAGAAGAATGTTCTTATACCCACTCAACTACCTCAAGAAGAAGCTGAGGAAGAAGTCCTAGGTGAACCTTCTTCACCTCCACCACAACAACAAACTCAAGAACTATCATCACCAGAGTCTACTCCAAGACGAGTAAGATCTTTGAGAGACATATATGAAACCTGCAACATGGCCATACTCGAACCTGGAAGCTTTGAAGAAGCATCAAAGCATGAAGTATGGATCAAGGCAATGGAAGACGAGATAAAGATGATCGAGAAAAATAACACATGAGAGTTAGTAAATCGTCCCCATGGAAAATATATCATTGGGGTTAAGTGGGTCTATAAGACAAAGCTCAATCCTGATGGCACCATACAGAAACATAAGGCGAGACTAGTAGCTAAGGGTTACTCACAACAACCTGGGATTGACTACAATGAGACATTTGCACCAGTAGCTCGTCTTGATACCATTAGAGCTCTAATAGCTCTTGCGGCACAAAAAGGATGGAGTATACATCAACTGGATGTCAAATCTGCCTTCCTCAATGGTGTACTTGAAGAAGAGATCTATGTGGAGCAGCCACAAGGATTCATATCTGAAGGCGAAGAGAGCAAAGTGTTAAGACTAAGAAAAGCACTATACGGTTTGAAGCAAGCTCCTCGAGCATGGTATAGCAGAATCGATCAATATTTCATGGATCAAGGATTTAGGAGAAGCAAGAGTGAGTCCACACTATACATCAAGTCTCAAGGTCAGTACACTCTCTTACTCTCTCTATATGTAGATGACCTTATCTACACGGGAAACAATACTAAGATGATAAAGGAGTTCAAAGAAGACATGATGAAGACCTTTGAGATGACCGACCTTGGTTTGATGAGTTACTTCCTCGGTATAGAGGTAAGCCAAAGAAATGAAGGGATATTCATCTCACAAAAGAAATACACAGAAGGCTTACTTAAGAAATTCAAGATGTACGGTTGCAAACCTGTCGCTACCCCACTCATAACAAATGAGAAACTACATAAGAATGATGGAGCACCAGAAGCTGATGCATCCAAATATCGAAGTTTAATTGGAAGCCTCCTATATTTGACAGCTACGCGGCCAGACATAATGTATGCTACAAGTCTTCTATCAAGATTCATGCAAAGTCCAAGTCAAATACACTTTGGAGCGGGAAAAAGAATTTTGAGATATCTACAAGGAACAAAAGAGTTAGGTATATGGTACTCTACCGAAACTAACTCAGGATTACTTGGCTACACCGATAGTGATTGGGCAGGTTCGGTAGATGACATGAAGAGCACCTCTGGTTATGCTTTCTCACTCGGATCAGGAATTTTCTCTTGGGCGTCGAAGAAGCAAGCTACGGTTGCACAATCCACAGCAGAAGCAGAGTACGTGGCAGCTGCTGAAGCAACGAGTCAGGCTATATGGCTTCGTAGGATACTTGAAGACATGGGAGAAATCCAGGATCAGCCAACTAAAATCAATTGCGACAACAAATCAGCAATTGCAATGGCAAAGAATCCAGTGCATCACAGTAGAACAAAACATATAGCAATCAAGTATCACTTTATAAGAGAAGCTGAAGCAACTAAAGAGATCAAACTCGACTACTGTAGAACAGAAGATCAAATTGCAGACATATTCACAAAGGCGTTGCCGAGACCAAGATTTGAAGAGCTACGAGCTATGCTTGGAGTCAAAGAAATTTGTATCAAGGAGGAGTGTTAAATTTGCTACAAATTTCTAGAGAGTTCTTAAATATAATATGTAACAAAATATAGAACATCCTAGAAACTATAAGGTGTATGAATATGGTAGAATAATCTAGATATATAAGTATATGGCAAAGATAGAAAAATCTAGATTTATCATGATAGTAACCTATCATGAGAACTCTAGAATATTCACCACTATTGAAAGGTTGGTGACTTGAGCCTATAAATAGGCATTTGCTACATTGTAAACAATCATCCAAGAAATTAATCAAAAACCTTCTTTCTAAACTACTCTCTAAAACTATCTTCTACCAACTATCATCTAAACAATTTCTAACAGAAACATACACGTACTACCGACATAATACTATGAACAAAATGAACATTTTTACTGACATATCCTTTTTTTTTATTAATGATGTTTCAAGAAGTATTTACTAACGTCATAGAAAGAAGTAAGTTAGCATGGAGTTATCGAAATTAATAAAAAGAAACATTGATTTTTAAAAATTTAATGGTTATAGAACTACCCCCTATATCCTACATGTTTTGGGGCCGAAAACTTTCAATACTGAAAAGTCCAACTTAAAAATAACCATTAACACAAAAACAAAACTCTAAAACTAAAGCCTAACCATAAATCCTAACTTTTTTACCCAAAAAATATGTTTTATATATATATATATATATATATATATATATATATATATATATATATATATATATATATATATATATATATATATATATATATATATATATATATATATATATATATATATATATATATATATATATATATATATATATATATATATATATATATTAAAAATAGGACAAGGTAATTCCTTACTTCATCCCAAAAAAACATAATGACATATACGGTTGAAAAAAAACTTTTTCAATAGGAAACCTATATGCAAAAAGGCTTATGAATTTAGAACTTTAAGATTTTAATTATGTTTTGGGATGGGATGGGTCAAGACCTGCCCATCCGTCGGGCAGACCCAATCAAATACTATTTAGGGAAGGTCCAATAAGACCCTAAACCCTAGTGTTGGGCACGACTCTAGACACGCTGGACAGGCACCCTCCCTCCGTCGGGCAGAACCACATCTCTTTTGCACGGTCTCCATGTGCTCCCCCCGCCGGGACATATAATTAGGCAACTACTCACCTCCGAAAGAGCTGGTCAGCCCACCTTCCGGAGATCACATGACGGTTGAATTAGGGCAAAGACCACGTGCTGGTCTTCACTACGACACGTAAGTCCTAGCAGTCACTTGGGTTGGGCCGGACAATCCAACCCAACACAAGTGACTGTTGGCCCTGCACTGGGGTTTCACTATAATACCCTCTTTCACTAGAGGGTCAGGGATTCAATTCTCTATCTCTCTTCTGTATTTGCTCTCGCTTTGTTCCACTACTTACTTTGGCATCAGAGTGTCTTGCAGGTACACCCCCTCCTCCTCATTACTTTCGATGAACAGCCTTCAGATCGACGATGCGTGGCAGGTCACTGATTCCCTTCTGATCAGGGATCAGATCAAATTGTATATCTTATTTTTTGATTTTTTATGTCACATATCAACTTCAAAATCAATAATAATAATAGTACAACAGTGAAACAATGACTTTGAGTAAAAGAGAAGACGAGGCATTTAACATATAGGTTTTTTCTAGTAAATAACACATTGAAAACAATCGATATTCATTAACTAATTTTACATTAACTTCATTAATAGACCTGCAATATTATGTTTATGAGTAGCAATCATGTTAAATACAGATACAGTCTGTTTTTATACTTATTCAAGCTCGACCTCAACCAAACGATATGTGGGTATTGCGTGTAAATGTTGAGCTCTTGGCATAGTAAGTCCAAATTTCTCCTCCATGCTTAAATTAGAAGGATTCATATTATATGGAAGTTCCCAATTAAAACAATGCACCAATTGGGCTACAACAAATTTAACTGTAGTTAAACCCATTTGAATTCCAGAACAACCCCTACGACCAGAACCAAACGGTATTGATTCAAACTCTTGTTTTAGATAATTCATTTTCTTATCAATGAATCTCTCTGGATAGAATTCTTCAACATTTCCAGACCAAACATTAGGATCTCTTCCTATTGCCCATGCATTTACTAGAACTCGTGTCTTTTCTTTTATAAAATAATCATCAATTGTTATGCTCTCCCTAGATTCCCGAGGGATTAGTAAGGGTGCAATTGGATAAAGTCTTAAGACTTCATCAATCACCATATCTAAGTAATTCAACTTCTTCAAATCTTTTTCTTCAACCATTCTTTTATTTCCCACTTCATTTTGTATTTCATTTTGCAAGATTTTCATGACTCTTGGATGCCTGACAAGTTCAGATAAAGTCCACTCAATTGCAGTAGACGATGTATCAATTGTTGCTATTAACAAGTCGAGTAAAATAGCTTTGATGTTAGTTCGATCAAGAACATTATTTGGTTCATTCTCCTCATCAGTAGCTTGATATACAATTGAAAGAAGTATGTCCATGAAATCTTCGTGACGATTTTTGTCTACATTAGTAACTTGTTCATGGTGTGTTATTATCACCTCTAGTGCATCATCAACTGCTCTATTGGCTTTTTTGCAAGCTCGTGTTAATCCCTAAAAATGAGTAAAATATAAAAAAATCAAGCACAAAATAGATATTTTCAATGAACTTAACAAAATCATACATGTAAATTGAGGTTAAAATTGATAAAAGAAATATTTAAGTGAACAGGAAAATATTTTAGACTTGATTCAATTATTAAATAAGTGGTCATTTTTTTCTTCAATTTTCTCCTATCTAGGTGTTTCCACCGAAATTCTCACACCAACGAGCGTCAATTCACTGAAATTTCAACTTTCCCATATTCGCAATCAACGCTTTCTTAGTCGGAACTCTCAAAAATAAAATAAAAATGATAAATTTATTTATATCAGAGCCTCGTTTAAGATATCAGTATGTAGCTGAACCTAACTCAACCCTACAAAATTGGGTGGTAGGATGAGGATTGCCCCCACTTATAAACATGTGTTCAGGTCATATATCATTTGATATGAGACTCTTAACACTCCACACACTTAGAATTAGACAACTGGAGCGTGGAAATAAATGGTGAGTGGCTCAATAGCAAAAACCTTAGTAGGTAGCTCACTAGATCTTAAATGAGACTCTTAATATCATGTTAAGAAATGTGGTTTGACCTAACTCAACTCTACAAAACCGATTGATAGAGTGAAAATTTCTTCCACTTATAAACACATGTTCATGTTCTATATTATTTGATGTGAGAGTTTTAACAATAATAGCAAAATAGACTGCAACAAAATGTTGGTATGACCATGACATAACATTGTTTATAAAAATAAAAATAAAAATAAATTCTCATTCTTCATATATAGTTTAATATAAGTTTTATAATTTTATTTATCTCTGACTCTTTCTCACTCTAAACTTAAAGATGTATTATCTCATCTCATATTTTTTTTCTCTTTCAACCAATTTTGTTGTTGGTCAAGGAACATTCTTTAAGAATTATAAATAAGAGAAGGCAATAAATGATTATCATTTAATAGAGATAAATATGGGAATGTTACACATTTAAATTCTGACTTTATATATGATATATATGTATAACTATCGACTGAACGTTATTTAGTTCAGTTTATTTATATTAAACATCTTATAATAATTAAAAAAACATATTTTAATATATGATATCAATTTCTTTTTTATAAATTTAAACAAAATCAAAATGTGTTTATAATAAGGAAAGGAAGGAGTAGTATATACATCATGATATGGTTTTAAATTGCACTTCGTAATCGCAATTATAGCCACAATATTGTATATTTGATTGTCTCTAAAATCACATTGAACGCAACTGCGGTGTGATCTAACTGCAATATTACAAATGCGCTTGTATATGCATTTGCAATGTGATTTAAGATCACGCTTCCGATCACTTTAAAAACTAAATCATACATTTTTATCCATGTTTAATTAAGTGTTTTTATAAAATCTCAAAGTTTTAAAACTTCATAACTTTATTTACTTTCAAATGTAATAACATTTTTTAACACTATGTATTTTTCAACCTTATATTTCAAACACCATTCAATCGAAATTCACGTAACAACAGTCATAATGATCTCAATCACAACACCCGTAATTGAAACCACGTTCACGACCACAACCACAACCGCACCAACGATCGCGACCGCAATTAAAACATGGTATACATCTATTTATATCCATTAGACCCAGTGCACCAAACTATCTTGCGATATCATTTCTTTTTCCACGTGACATCTCTCAATATCTATCTTAAACTTTTAAATAGTCAAAACATGTCATTACTTTCTATAAAAAGGTATTGGGTTCCAATCCTAACAAATGCAAAATACAATAATCTGATATTTGATTATTAACTTTGCTCATTTCAAAAAATATTATACTAATTTACTCACAATAAATTTATTATTATTATTTTTAATAAAATACATTATAAGATAAATATAATTAAATTTTTATTAAATCACAATAAATCAGTTTTCAACATACAATTAATTTGCTCATATATTATTGTCATAACTTTATCATAAAATTTATAGAATACTATTCATATTTGTCTTGAAATAATTTCTTAATTATAAAAATGAAAGAAAAAAAAAGTAGTTTGATTATTTTTTACTTAGTGTCTCTAAAATAATTTCATAATCTTTCAATTTAAAAAAAATAAATGATATAGTATTTCTTCATCATATATTTTACAAAAAAAAACTAATATTTACATACTTTATTAGATTTAACATTTAGCTTTAAAATAAAAATTAAACAATTTAAAATATAATAAAAAAGATAAAATGTATTATATTATAAGATTAAAAAAAAGATAAGTGCATAAAAAAGAAATAAAATTAAAATTAATTAAAAATGAGATAAAATTAAACTTAATTTAATTTATTTAAAAATATATATATTTACTCTTAAAAATATATAAAATATATAAATAAATTTAAATAAAATTATATTAAATTTAAAAAATATATATTTAATTAAATATTTAAATTAAATATATAAATTTAATACACAAATTAAATTATTAAAAATATTTTTAAAAAAACATATGTATTTACTTTTTTAAAATCATTTTATTTAGAATCACATTGCAAAATATTAAATATGATATAATTCATATATTTTTTTATTACATATTGGTAAAAATGTTTGTGGTTCAACCCTTTACAATTACTGCAGCTAAATATATTCTTAAAATCATAAAAATAAAAGAAACCCTTAAAGTATACTTTTAGTGTTAATGTATACATTCCGCAATGTCTCAAGGTTAAATTACTTTCAATTGATCTTAGAAATATAATAAAGAATGCAATGCTCTTTATCGAAAAATATAAAAACTAATAATAAAATTCTCAATTTTTCACATATAATTAAAATTTGACATTATATACACTAGCGTTTAGATGGACACGCGAGTGTCAGTCTATCTTCTTTTTTAATGCACATACATAAAAATATAAATAATATTTTTTATTTAATATTAATTTAAATGGAAATTATATAGAAAGTTATTAATAAAAAGTTATGTAAAAGATGATAGGAGTAATTCAAAAAAAGCGAGTGTCTGTTTAGATGATAGGAGTAATTAATCAAATAGAAATTATTGTGTAAGTTACATATTTTAAAATAACGGTAAAATTGAAATAAAATTAGGTTACACTAAAAACAATTTATCTTTATATATGTTATAGATTATAGATAAATTTGTAAAGTTATCGAATGTTTTATTCAATAATAATTAAAATAAAGTTTAATTTTTATTTAAGACTAAAAATAAATACATATCTTAACAACTTATAATTAAATATTTAAAAGAGAAAATATTATGAAAAAAATACATTAGAACCAAAATAAAAAACAAGCCGTTATTGATTGCTTTTAAAATTATTTAAATTTGCATAAAAAAGTCTTATGTGTCACTCTTAACTTGAAAACATACTTTTTTTTATTTATGATTAATTCATATCATTGTGTCAAATATAATTCATAATAAATTAATATAATATAAATTTATTGTCCATATTTACTAAATAATTTTTTTAACATAATTAAAATTTAATAATAATAAGTAAAATTAATTAATGCACGGATCTACATCTAGTTTCGATTTAATTTATGCAATGTAAAATCATGCTACAATCTAAGGTGTGTGATTCATTTTAAAGGTGTATTGCTATTTAAAACCTTAATTTTAGGTTTTGAGATTTGCTGTTTATGTCACTTGACAATTTCCACTAAAATCACACAATCACAATACTTTGAAGACTCAAAAATAAAATAAAGTCAATACTCAATCTTTCTTTTCTTAAACACGTTAATAACAAACACATACATACCTGAATATCAAGTATGCCAAGCCAAGGAACATAATCAGCAAGATTAAAAGCTCCAAACAAAGACGTTGCTTGTTGAACCAACCCCTTCAAGTCAAATTCCTCATACTTACTCCTACCTAGCACCATCTTATACGCAATATTCTCTATAACGTTCTCTGCAGCCTCGCTAACATTCACAACCTCGCCCGCTAAAGCAGCTTTCTCCAATGATTTAACCAAAACACCCAACTCTTGTTTTCTAATAGGAGCAAACATCTCAACTTTGGAAGCAGTAAGAAGTTTCAAAGTGAAAAGTTTCCTCAGACTACGCCAATAAGGACCATATTCAGAAAAAGCCAACCCTTTGGAACCGTAATACAGGATATCAGATGCTTGAGTCGTTGGTCTGCTTGCAAAAACTAAGTCATGAGTTTTGAGAAATAGTTCTGCTGCTTTTGAAGATGAAATGACAACAGCTGGTACTTGACCAAGTTGCATGGACATGATTGGACCATATTTTTTGGAGAGTGATTGAAGTGCTCGATGTGGAAGTTTGCCTAACAGGTGAAGGTTTCCGATGATTGGAAGAGCTGGTGGACCTGGTGGCTTTTTGTGTTTTGGATTAGAGAAGAATGTGAATAAAAAGTATGTGAAAGTGATGAAAAGGAAAGCTAGAACTGTTATTGCTGCAGAAGACATATCTCTAAGATGGAATGGTTTTCTTATCTCTAAACTAGTCATGTGTTTCTGGATTTATAGTTTAAACTTATTTAGCACCTTCTCTTCCTATTTCATTTTTTTCTTCTATATTTTATTTATTTAAACAACTTGCCAAAATTATTGACAATTATTTATTTAAACAATGTGACAAGGACATCACATGTCCCCAAGTTGGAATCTTTTTTAAGAAATCTTTCTTACACCACCTCACATATTTTTATGATATTAAAAATATTTTTTTTATTATTTTCATTATCACATTTTGATGATGGGTTATGCAGTTACCAAAAAATTATGGTTTACAAGAAAGACAAGATACAAAAGATAAAAGAAACATGATTAAAATTCTACATATTCATTCAAAATGTCACACGCACTTATGCATAGAATCTTAATGAGCCTAAACTCTGGTCAAAAACTCACTTGAAGAAAAGGAAAAGAAATAGACATATGAATTTTTAAAATAAAAATAATCTTAATTCATAATAAAGTCTTGTTGCCACAAGGGTCTTTTAATAACTCTAATGGACATGTTTAGCATCCTAATAAATTTTCTCTCACTCACAAAATTTTCGATAAGTTATGGAAATTCAGTATAATTTTTTACCGAATTAATTGAAATATTTGAAGCATAACAAATGATTTATTGGATGTTTCAAAATTTTCTATATATTAGATATTTTCTTATTCCTCTTAAAAATTCGACAGTATTATTTTTAAATTTGTTGTGATTGTGCAAACACTTTTGTAGTATTATAATTACATCGACAAATTTATGTAATATTCGCTATAGAAAAAGAAAATAGACCAAAATAATTTTAACATTATGAACATTCTAAAATATCCGATCACACTCTTGCATAAATAGACAATTTTAAGAATTTGATAAGTCTATATGTGTTCTTACCAAAAATTTATAAATTGCATGTATGCATATATGCATTTTTATGATGAATTTTAAAATTGTCAATAAAAACTCATACATGCATATCATATATTTTTAAGGGTTAAATATGTTTGTTATCCTCTTAAATATCTTACATTTCGTTTTTAGTTATTTAAAATATTTCTTTCAAAGAATGATTTTTCTAAAAAATTTCATCCATGCTTTTCGGCCGCTAAGTTATAAATTGTCGCTAATCATATGGCTAAGTTGCAAGGGAATCAAAAGTGTAGATAAAAAATTTCAAAAATATAATTCTTTGAAAAAAATATTTTGAAAAACTAAAAACAAAATTTTAAAATATTTAAAAGAACCGCAAATATATTTTACCCTATTTCTAAATTGTCTATAAAAATACAAATAATTTTAACGGATATTTTTAAATTGTTGGTATAAATATATAATTTTGGTATAGCTATATTAGAAGTTCGATAAAAAAAAATATTTTTCACTAAATATCTTATATCCTACTATTTCTGTTTTTTATTATAAATATTTTTGAAAAAAATTGTATTATAATATAAGTTGTTTTATAATAGCAATGAATAATTAATGTTATTTTTTCTATTATATTTTAAAATATTATTTTTTATTTATTTTAATAATATAAATTTGTCTTTCCAAACTATTAATAAAAAATAATTTTGTAAAACTTTTTAACATTTCTCTTTTCCATATTATAATTAATATATTTTTTAATATGTGTGAAAAATAAAAAATAATTTATAATAAAAAATAAAGAGTATTAAAATTCATATATAAATGCATAAATTTAATGAAAAATAACACTTATAAAAATTCCATATAACAAAAAAAAAATTGTATTTTTTAACTATCACAAGGAGATTATGATTAAATTAGGGGAGATGTCAGGAATAGCTCCATTGGAGGGTGTCAAGGAGATTTCTCTAAGTGATTCCATATCTACTATATGCCTTCTTACAACTGCACCCTCGTGGGGACATTCAGCATCTTTTCTTCCTACTTCATTTATTTAAACAAAATGCCAAAATTATTAACAACTATTTATAGTTTTTAAAGACAAATCTTGATCAAGTTGAGCTGAGGACAATTCTAGTTCAAATTATATAATGAAGCTACAAATTTTGCCACGCACTGTATTATTTCCCACACCCTTCATCTGATTCCTCCACATGACTATGACGCCCTTCTTCTGAACTTTTTATATTTTAAACATAGTTAGGACTTGGAACATGCCTCGCAACTTCGTACAGGTCTCACAACTTGCATAATTTTTTGGCGGAAGAAATTTTAAATCTTCTCATATTTAATTATCTTCCGTCAATATTGCATGATAGCGTATCATCAATCATGTTCTTAGACAGAAGATAATTAAATAAAGGCCGTTGTTATATTTAAAATTTTGACCGGTTTAACTCGTACGTATAATTTTAAAAAGTTTTATATTTTAAATGAATGAAATAACTTAATTGGTAATTTAGTGAGTGGATTTAACATGATATCTTGGATTCAAATCACACCTTTTTCAACTTTTAAAGTATGTTTAGATTGAGTAATTGAGAATTTTTAAAGAATTCAAAATTCTAAGCAATTCAAATGATTCAATTGCATTCTATTTAATTTTAATTTTTTTTGGATGGAATATAAAAATGATTATTGTTAAAATTTTTAGATCATTTTTATAAAATTTAAAATTTTTGGATCAAATTTAAAATATGAAAAATAAGGATCAATTTACAATTTCTAAAAATTTTAAGAAATCAATTTGTAAAACTTAAAAATTATTAGGCACTTATTTGCAATTTTTTGAAAATTTTTAGGATGAATTTGAAATTTTCATAAAATATGATGAGCATCTTGCAAAATTTGAAAAATTAATAATAAACAATTTAACATTTGCATTCTATAGAGTGAATGAGCAATTTTAAATTTTTTACGTTTTGGTATCTTTTGAAATTTCTTAAATTTAACTTGAATAAAATACTTCATAAATTTACATCAATTTAACAATTCTCTATATTTTTTATCCAAACAATAAATTTTGATTAAGAAATTTTAAATTCTTTCAAAAAAATCATTTCCCTCATTAAAATGCATCATTCAAACATTTTATTTTTTAATCAACAATTGTACTTTTTAATTTTTTTAATTTTTGTTTTTTAATAAATAATATATTATTTATTTTAATGTATTTTTATTTCAAAAATAAAAATATCAAAAATAAAATAAAAAATAAATTTTTTTATTTTTGCTATTATTTACTAGCGTTCAAACCGATACTCTTATACTCATTTATTTGTTTTTTTAATATGCACGCATCAAAACATAAACATATTTTTATTTAATTTTAATTTTATTGTGGTAAATATGACACAATTAATATATAACTAGAATAGGACCCGCGGGATGCGCGGCTGGTATAGAAGATCGTGTAGATAGTAAATAGAAGTTGGTGAAATTAAATAAAAATTTATTTATGATAGATATTATTTGTTATAAAAACTCTATAATATAGATAATTAAATTAACATAACAAAAGAAAATAGTTTAATTTTAATTGAAAATAGTGCATTTATAAATAATGGAAATGCAAGGTGAGACATAAAATTAAATGCTAAAACATGAAAGATGTCTTCAAAATGAAATCAATTTTTATATTTTTGGTTACTTTTTTTTCTTATATGAGGCTTTGTTGTTCCTTTGTTTTTCTTTAATGGACTTTCGAGTCTTTAATTTGTGTATGAGAAGTAACTCGTCGTCAGAGGATAATATCTGAAGTCCATTGCCACTACTATTTTTTGAATTCCCTTTAATATGTGTTTCATTATCTGATAATGTTATGATTAGCATTCGTTTAGCACTGTGAGTTTTTATTTTTCTTTTCTTGTATGGTTTACCATTGATCTTGTCATCATCATTTCCTCTTCCACGTTCTTCTTCTTCTTCTCCTTCTTATTTTTCTTGTTGTTCTTTTTGGTGATCTTCTTTATTTTGAATCATTGGTGGTGATATGGACTCCTATATATAATAAGTATATTGTTAGTATTTATAAAGTTATTGGTATATTTGTATGATTGTAGTAAAAATTTAATTACCTGTTTAACAGGAGTTTTTAGAATTGGTTCTTGTAGAATAGCAGTTGGTGCAAAAGTTTGTGATACTGTGTAGATTTGCGACCCTTCTTTTAAGTTTTTTGCAGACAACTTTATTTCAAAAATAAGAGTACGATGACAGAGATTTTGTAGTATTGATGGTGTAGACGTGTTAGCTTGTTGTTGCAAGAGCATTTGAGCTGTTGTATTGAGTAGCTTATGTTCCTCTTGATCAAACAGTGTCAAAGTTATTTTAGCGGTCTCATTAGACACTTTTAGCATTATCTTAAACCTGTGATTACACTTTTTTTATATTATGTTACTAATAATTTTTTGGATAAGATGGTTTATGATTGCAAATGTCTAACCTTGGTTTTGGATACTTGGAAGGTGTTTGACATGAAGGACATTTCAATTCATGGCCTTCATGTTTAAGTTTCTTCATACATTTTTCATGTTCAATGTAATGTCATCCAAATGTATCATCAATTTCATTTATAGTTGCTGAAATTGTAAAGAAAACCCCCTATATTTAAAAGTTTAGAGAAATTGGTAAGTAAAATAACTTTTGAATTGTATTTACAAAAGAGTTTTTAAATCAAATTTATAGTGTACCTGTATATCTTGTAACACCCCCTTTCTATACCCCCAAAATAAACAATTAAATCATTTAGGCACAAATTCAAAATTTCATCAGAGTACATTTGCAACGTGGCATAAAAGGGAAATATCACATTATCATAAAAATTCCAACACATACAACACCTGCTCAAACGGATATGCAACAACAGGGTAGCACCCACAAGAAATATTTAGAACAAGGCGGAAATATCCAAATATTCCATAATTCTCCAAAACATATGTTCACATATACAGTTATCATTCATCATGTTTATAAAATATATCATCAGCAGATACATACACAGATGTATCACAAAATAAAAATCAAAATAATTCCTATC